CAAATTCAAATTATTTATTGCATGTCACTCCAGAACCTTGCTGCCCCATCGGCCGTCAGTTCTGCGTACTATGTGCCCTGCCCATTGCCACTTCAGCTTGTATCCGTCGGGCTAGTATGTCAGCGACTTTAGTTCGTTTACGGATCTCCTCATTTCTGATTCGATCTCGTAAAGAAACATAGCCCTCTCCATAGCACGCTGTGCAATTTGAGCTTCTGTATAAGGCCTATAGTGAGAGGCTACGTTTCCGAACCATAAGTCATCACTGGTAACACACATTGGTTGTAGACCTTAGTCTTCAGGCACTGAGGTATTTTGGACTAAAAGATGTTGCGTCGTTTCCCAAACGCTGCCCAGCCGAGTTGGATTCGACGATTGACCTCTTTCTCGAAATTGGACCTACTCAGCTGAATCGTTTGTCCGAGGTAGACATACCTGTCAACCGAAACTGGGTAGGGCGCAACATGGACATTGGACATAAGCTTTGTTTTCTCCATATTCATCCGCAGGCCAAGTGTAAGTAGAGATCTTCAACCTCGCCCATCTAGTTCACCCAGCGGATTCGATTTGCTTACATTATTTCGAAGAAGAGTTCTAAACAGGTTGTTGGCTATACCGCCGACCATTTAGCTGGGTTGATGATGGAGTCAAGAGGTGACCATAGGAACTCTTAAACGAAACGGCGGAATCGCATCGAACTTGGGTTCGTTGGATTTGTCTTTTGGAGCTATTTAGTGCTAAATGATGCCCAGGGTCCTGATGATGGATTCGGGAGGTGGCCATAGGAACTCCTAAACGAAACGGTGGAAACTCATCGAATTTGGGTTTGTTGGATTTGTCTTTTCAAGCACTTAAGTGCTAAATGATGTTCAGGGTCCTGATGATGAAGTCAGGAGGTGGCCATAGGAACTCTTAACCGAAACGGCAGAAACTTATAGAGTTTGAGTTCGTTGGATTCGTCTTCCCGAGCACTTTGGTCGTAAATAATGACCAGGGCCCTGAGATTGAAATACAACTTAAGAGTGTAAAATAAAATTATAATAAAAAAATTAGCTCCCCTGGCCTACCTGGAAATCTTTATAGACTTCGGACAGGTCTGCCGTAGTAAGGACAATCTGTTCAGGTGTCAGGTGGGGATTCTTGGATGGATCAAACTTGGAGTGCAAGTGTGGTTTTGTTCCCCAGTCGACGAAGCACATGATGTCGTGCCCAAACAACTGCAAGCAGGAAGATTTAATGAAGGCTACTGACAACGCCACTCTTGTGGCGGAGTTTTGGGCTGACGCTGTGTAGGTTTGTTGTCGACACGACAAGAAGAAGAATAAAAAAAAAATTATAGGTACAAGCAAGTTTTTATTCTGAAATGCAGTTGTACTAAAACGAAAAAAATAATGCAAAGTTCAAATAATTTCGAAAGCTTGTAGCGCAAACCGAAAAAAAGAGGAATAAATTCCATGTGCGATAAAAAAATAAAACGCTTTTTTTTCAAATACTTACATCTTTTTGAAAAAAACTACGTTTTATTTAAATTAAATTGATGGTTTAAAAAAAATACCCAATATTCGAAAAATCCGGATAATCCGGATTTGTACGTAACACAAATCCGGAAAACCGGATTTAAGAAAAATCCGGATTTTGCAATCTCTAGTTTTAGGTATGATTCCTTAAGAAAATTCGCTAAATTTCGAGTAAATGCAACAACAGTCAGAACATAGAGGCAAAATCTCGTAACGCCCGAAACGCACACTTTTCGACTCATATTTTCGTTATCCTACATTCTAAGCTGTACAAACTTTATTATTTAGATAAAACAACTAAAAACGGACAGATTAAGGCACTAACATTATTAAAATACTATTTCAAAATACATGAAATTGTTGAATTGTGTGTACGAACGTAACACCCGAAACGATGGAATGACCCTAAAGGTAAAAATGAAATCTAAAGTAAATCTTAAAAGGTGTAAATAAAACATCAATAATAATATTTTTTTTAATGTTTAAGACACTATAGAGCAAACTATTTACTACCATTTTATAGTTTCAGACAAATACTTCCGGTCAGTCACTTTAAACGTCTAAACCGCAACTATTAATTTACACTGTGAATTACTTCCGCTGAAGACGGTTATTTCAAGACATAACAGCTGGTAGTTAAATATTTTATGGTAACAATAAATATTTCATCTTTAGTGTTCAGTAAAGACACTTAGTTAAAATGATGCCGCGCTATTGTGTCAAATTACATAAAAGCGCCGAGATAATTGTATGAGATACTTCTATAAAATGTCTAAAATGTGTTAGCGCACAGCCCAAGCTTAGGTGATTTTGATTGCAAAAATGTAGATTAAGTCTTCTTAATTAATGAGTCTATCGAGCTATGACTCAATTTTGAATTAAAAATCCAATTAACCTGCGGTGGCGCAATAAGTTTTGCTCTACTTTAAACATTTACTTTTAACTCAAAAAAATATGGAATTGTTAAGATACCCAACTAAGTAATTAATATAGGCTTCCTAAACTAATCAAAACAAATGAAGTTGCATCATCAACGGTTTCGATCTTCATCAAGGAAGAGAACAGAAGAAAAATAAGTTACTTTAACCAGATTATGACGAGATTAAAACACCTTATAAATACAAATCTCCAGTAAATCTCAATTAGAACAAAAACACATTTTTTCGTAGATTCCTGCGGGTACACCGCACAAGCGCGTGTAAGCTAAATATAAATTAGGAACTAATTTAGGATCAATGCCGCTGCATACTTTAAAGCCTGCAATAATAGTAAATCTTATTCTCCATTAGCGCAGAATGAGACATTACCGAGTAGCCTATGTCTTATTAATAATAATGATGATAAGGCAAACCTTGAACATACTTATTACGAAGATCCGTTTAGTTAAGAATGTGCGAGTTCTGTGCGGTTGTGGTTGGCAATTTTATTGATACTACTTACTAAAAATTCCGACGGCATGTATATCATTAACTGTTTTAACTACTGTTTACCATCAGCAACACATAAATAGGCACAGAAAGACGTAAACCTAAAGATTAACTTATTACAAAGCTACGTTTAGTTTAAGAATGTGAGTTCTGCGCGGTTATGGATAGCAATTGGTACTAACTATTCTTACGGCATTTATAGCAATAAATTGTCTTAACTGACAACTGTATACCATCAAAAACACATATAATAGGCACAGAAAGACGTAAACCTAAAGATTCTTTAACAAAATGCCCTTACAATATTGAACCCGCCGAAATTGTAGCAATTAATTCAAAAACTTTGAAAGCCGAATCCGGAGTTTTGCGAGTGTCGTCTGGAGAGGGTAGTAATAATTCAATTGTCGCTTTCAACGCGAATTCGCTCCGATAGGGTTGTCCGCGAAATTATACGAATCTTTAGCATGACATCTGTCTCTTACAATGTTGGTTCCTTTCTAGGTAGGTATTAAAAAGACATTCATTTGAATCAAAATTTGATGGCCTTTTTAATAAACAAATAATTCATGCAAAGGAACTTTAAATCATTTGAAAATGAGTTACTGTAATCGCAAAAACATAATGCTTGTCTCGCGAAAATACGTGTGTGTGTGTACTTAATCTGCAATCATATTCACACTTAAGTCTGTCCAAATTCTATTTCAATAGGGCTTGAGAAATGGAACACAGTAGGCAATATAAATTAATAGCTCCAAGTCAAAACATTCCTAGCTAATAAAAGTCGCCAGACGTTTGACGCGACTTTAACTTCCAAGTTTAACGACGCCTCATTACAATTATCGTGACCTGACAACCCTGTCCGAGTGGCGAGACGAATTAATTGTCGAAACGCTCCCATCCGGTCTAGACTTAGGACCGTTGAGTGGACAGTGGTCGAAGTTGTTTATTATCGACGCTAAGGGCCGGACTGTCCCCTCGTTTGTCCGTCTTGGAAAGTTCGAGTTACATTCTGAGTGGTGCGCTATTGCGAAGAGACCTGAGGGTCGTTTCTTGTTAGGACTGCTTTAACTGGGGTTGTTATTTAATTAACAAACTAAATGTTGAACTTAACTGTGATCAAAGGTGAATCGTATTTCAATTTATTGACTCCGAACATCAACTAAGATTAACTGAAAGCAGGGAAAGTTCTCTAGTGTCCGACCGAAACTAGTTTTACGACCGAAACCGAAACCGAAAACGAATTTCGGCAACGGTGTCTGTTTCGGCCGAAACCGAAACCGAAACCGAAACTTCCTTACAAGGCTCATATTTTGAGGGAAAAATAAAGAAAACGTAATTGAACTTATAAAGCGCCTTTTCGAATCGCTTAAATAAAGTGACAGTGGGCGGGGCACATAGCTCGTAGAGCTGATGGCCGCTGGGGCAGGAAAGTTCTTCCACTAGGTGGACCGACGATCTGGTGAAGGTCACGGGAGGTGCCTGGATGCGAGCGGCGCAGGATCGGTCTTCGTGGAAATCCTTGGGAGAGGTCTTTGTCCAGCAGTGGACGTCTTTCGGCTGAAACGAACGAAAGCGCCTTTTTACTCTAAAAGGTATCAAGTTATGTACCTATTAAAAAAGAAAAGTCTAGATTTTTTTTAATTACTCGCAACATTCAGGACATCTACATAACCCGTCCCATGGTCGGGTCTTTTACTTTAATAATTTCTCAATACAAAATTGGTAGTACGTAATTTAGTATCTACTGTACTTGCCATTGTGATAAATACTAAAAAGAACTTTGAAACTCTGAATCCATAATATTATCACCATGAAATGCACTATAGTCATAACTAACTAAGTACCTAACTAATGTTTGTTTACGTACCTATAGCATTTGCAAACCAAAAAAAATGTATAGGTTAGATTAAACTTGATTATACTTTTATCAGTCATATTGAATATTTTTTTTGATGTTTACTACCCGCTCTTGTTGTAACGACATAAAACGAGATAAAACTTACCAAATTCAAAATAAATCACTCGAAAATTCGCCACCACAACAAAACAAAACTAACAGCAAACAAACAAGCGAGCGAATCACGACATTGGCTCTGATCGGGATCGGATTCATTCCTCATTCAACGCGCCGAACATGACCGATAACAGCGCGGAAACTCCCGAATGCACATTCGGTTTCGGTCGTAGTTTCGGCAAGTTTGCCACCGAAAACGAAACTAAACCGAAACTCGTGTTTTTACCGAAACTCAACCGAAAACGAAACCGAAACCGAACATTCGGTCGGACACTAAAGTTCTCTAGTTCTCTTGCAACAATGTGAAGTGGCAAATATCAGCTTACATTAATGAAAATGTCCAAGCAAACGTGACGGAAAGGAAACCATTTGGCATTAAGATAGACCAGATACAAATATAGAGGGAATTATATTGAAAATACAATCACGAACAAGTAAAAGTGACCAGCACAAGCTTTCCACCACCCCTTCATGCCATTAGCAGACTAGGGTCAATTGCCCGCGCTGATCGCAACTGGTAGTTATCAAATTTCGCAGATGCTATCTAAATTGGCACGGGTGATAGAGTTTAAGGTAAGTCTGGTTGCCATGAGAGCGTCGTAATGGGCCCGCCTCGATCAGATAGGCCCGACAAATTACTGCATGTCGCCGATAGGCCGTGGTTAATG